TTTTTGGAGAGATTTTCACTGTAGGGCGCGTGCGCTTGCCAGACAGAGAGAGACATAGAGACAGAAAGCGAGAAATCACCCCCCAGGGGGGATGGTCATGCCGCAATCCCTTCTCCTCCATTTTCCTCTGGGGATCTTGGGCACGCACATACACGCGCCCGGCGTGAGTTTTAAGCCACCGGGTCCGGGACAGGAACCGCGGTCGACTACGTGGGAGTCCAGCGACATAGCCATTACACTAACTGCTGGTTCCCATAAGTTAAAGCTTTTAAAATGAATTCCTCACTTGCCAGGACATTCTGTTTTCACTCTTTTTGAACAACAACAATTAAGACCTCATCAGTTTTGCAAATAGTGAGATTTCACCTGTATTAAATTTGTCAATATAATCACAAAAAAGTATCAATTTTCATGCACGAATGCTCAAATTAAAAAGCTATTCCTTCGGCATGAACTTATTACAGTTTAGAGGTGGAAGGAAAAATGTAGAACTAAATTTTATGCATGGTATGTGTGGATATGCGAATTTCAATTAGCGTTAATAGAGGCTGTTCATTTTATTCCACACAAACAGTTTTAGCTGGGTGTTTTTCTTTAGTAAATTACATTGACATTTTTTAAAGAAATTGCCTTCAGTGGATTCTTATTGCTGTTTTATTGAGTCTGCTTACGTGTTTATGTACCGAAACCCTCAACTTATTACAAATACGTTGGGGTCAGAAACTAATCCTGAATCTGCAGACCCAAAGTAATTTGCTGTTGCCATCTGTTGGTAACAGGCTGAGTCCTTTTGCTCTTTCTCCTCAATGAAAATTTGTATTTTGAAGTTTTTATATAAAGGAGTACCTGTTTTACTTCTGCTATATGTAACAGTTCTGTACCTTTAAAGGCCCAGTTTTGGAGAATAAAAGGCACATAGGCTTCTCTTGGATAGATTAAGCTCCTATGGTGATGCTTCCCTGGAAATAGCATTGGCTTTTGAACATGAGTTTGGGTGTCTGAAGGCCATGGGTTTGAATCCTGTCCTGGCACTTCATTGACTGCAGTCAGGCAGCTCAGGTACTCCGACTTGATTTCCTCGAATGTAAAGTGCAAAAAATAATACCTACTTCTGAAGATTAATGTTAGATTTTAATTAGATAAAATGTATAATATTGTAACAAACGTAACCTAATAGATAGGCACCAACCCACATTTCTAAAACGAGGGACCTAAGTGTATTATAGTCCCTGTAATTTACTCAATGATCTCCCAGCGATTAGTGCACTCTCTAGATAAAAGTATAACTTGTAGTTAGTGCTGTTAGGGAATTAGCATGGATTTGTACATTAAAAATTGTACCTGCTTTTAACCATGAAATCAGATGTTTGTTTCACAATTTTTTTAAGGTTTTTGCTATCAGGCATGTGCACTTGACAGAGACAAAGAGGGACAGAGAGAGGAAAAGTGAGT